AAGCCTAAGGAAACCCGAAAATACGAGAGCGGCAGAAGTTTTGCGTTCAACAAAACCGCGGTCAATGATTTTTTTGACAATTATGAACGTGTAATGACGCGCTACAAATTTACACCAGATCGTATAATAAATCTCGACGAAACTGGGATCACCACAGTCTTACCTACACCTAAAGTTTTGGCAGAAAAAAGACAGAGACAAGTGGGGCAAATAGTATCAGGTGAACGAGGAGAACTGGTAACATTTTGTGGAATAGTTACTGCTCTTCCTCCTGTGTTTGTTTTCCCACGTGTCCATTATAAAGAACATTTTTTGAATTGTGCTCCTGAAGGAAGTCTGGGATTGGCAAACAGAAGTGGCTGGATGAATGCAGAACTGCATATTGAGGTTTCAAGACATATTCAACGTCATACTTTATGCACCAAAGACAATCCCATTTTAATCATATGTGACAACCATGAGTCTCATATTTCAATCGAAGCTGTCAACTATTGTCGTGAAAATGGTATCGTTTACAGTTCATCAAATTTCTAGAGGCTTTCGACGGCTAGATAGAGAAAGCACTACTGACAGGCATTCCGACGGATTTACGCAATGAAAGTACACTCTGCGCATCAAGTATTTCACTATTTCATTCAGACGTAAATGTCAGATATAAATTTCGCTAAAACATTTCTTTTATTTTCGTTTGTGTTTTTTGCTCATTACAGTTTAATAGAACCTAAGTATGGAGTTTAATAGCAAATTAAGAGGCCGCGTGATTAACAGTCAATCTCGCGAAATAATAGCCAATGTTATAGAGTTTATGAGAAGAGAAGGAAACTTTAATTCACCATCAATACCATTTAAAAATGTAAATGATCGTGTTGCTGCAGCCACAGGAGTATCTAAAAACACTGTCGACCGCATTTCTGGAGAGAAAAAAAGAATCGATAACCGTGAGATATCGGAATTTTCACCAAGAAAAACCATTAAAAAACCAAAAACAGTTAATGATATAGATGAAGCTGCACAAGAATCAAATTTTATTTTTTTATTATTAGATAGCTATTTTTGTTTCTGAGTTGTGTTCATTTACAGGCTCAATTTTTTTCCGTTTCTCCTTTTTGATTTTATATGGGGTTTCAAGTTGTTTTTGACTTATTTCGACGTAAATCACAACAACACACTTTTTTAATAAAGCAAACAAGTGTTAAGAGGTATATGTACGTGTAAACTACAATTACAAAAAATTGATATGAAACCCATGAAACCACCAACAAAAATGTAAAGCTAGCTTCCGTACTAGAACATGGTGTCATTCATCGAGATAATTTATCGTTTTGTTTAATAGATCAAGAAATGTAAATATTCCCCTGTTATTTTTTATAAAATTATAAGAGAAATAAATTTTTTTTTAAATAGTATAGTTTATTATTTTGTAGAAAAACAAAATTTCGAAAATTTTAGTAATGTTTCAGAAACAACCGTTATTAATAATAGGTACCATTTTCCTTAATAAGGTAGAAATAAAATATAAACTATTTCCACGATTTACAAAGGCCTACAAAAAAAATATAGGTATTTTCCGCTATCCTATAAAATTTATATTTTCTGACTCAATTTCAAAAGGTTGAAGGAATTCCAAAACACCTCTTATGGCATAATAATTATTTTCAATTATACATACTATCTTTAGCTGCTTTTAAAAACGTTCTAAGAAAGTCCAATCAGACCAATTTAATCCCTAAACTATTCCACACTTTTAAAATTTAATTACCTAAAAATATTAAAAACTATTTAAAATAACTTGTTTAGCAGACTGTACAATAGCTATCTTAGTCACACGTAGCGCGTTCTCTGTCTGGGCGTCAAACACCTCTAGAAATTTGATGAACTGTAATTGTCTCTTCCGCCGCATACATCCCATAAGATGCAACCGTTGGACGTTTGCATTTTTGGGTCTTTTAAAGGCAAACTTAAAATTGCTTTTAATGATTGGCATGTTCGAAATGTAGGAAAGACCTTGTCGATATATAACATTGCTGAACTAACAAAATCAGCGTTTCTGGAATCTTTTATTCCTAAGAATATCACAAGTGGGTTTTCAAGACCCGGCATTTGGCCATTTAATAGACTTGCATTTGGCGATGATGATTTTGCACCAATACAAATATTTGATTCCAGTTCTCAAGAGATTGTTGGCTGTGTGACAAACGAAGAAAATGCACAACTGAAAGGTTCTGTGGATACAGATATTACCAGAAACGATGTGGTTAACTTTAACTGTAAATCAAGTGAGACACCAGTTGTTGATAAAGCCGGCCCCCATAAGACCCGATTGGAAGAGGATGTAACATCTCCTAATGTACATCCTTTACATTCTATTCCAATATTGTCCCCTGAAGTAGTTAGACCATATCCTAAAAAAATCCTTGGGTCGTCCTCATCGAAGAAAAGAAGAGAGAAGGGAAAATCAGGAGTCTTCACTGATACACCAGAGAAGGATAGATTACAGGCGTTGTACGAAGAAAAAATAAGAAAACGACAAGTTAAAATGATGAAACAGAAAGCAGAAGAGTTGAAAACGGCAAGAAATTTATCGGGTTTAACGGAAACTCAACAACTTAAGAATAAAAGACGACGTCATTCCCAATCTGATTCTGATACTAGTCGCAATGAATCTGTGACATTAAGTGATGATGATGACATGGATTTTGAATCTGATCTAGAAGACTCGGATATATGTTTTGATGTTCCCAATACTAAAAATATAAATGTTGCAGATTTCCTACTCATTAAATTTGAAAAGAAAGAAACTGTTCTTTACTACGTGGCCAAAGTGATTTCGATATATAATATGACCGATTATCAAGTGTCATACCTCAGGAAAAAAACAGGATCTTGTACGTTTGTGTTCCCCAATATAGAAGATAAGGCAGACGTTGATTTCGAGGATGTTGTTCTGCAATTGTCAAAACCAAACTTCTCACAGAGCACATCTCGAACATCATCTCTGTATATTTTTCCTATTGACTTAAGTGGATATAATGTTCAATAAAGGTTAAATGTTTTTTTTTAAGTTTTTAAGGTTAATTGTTATTTCTGAAAATAAAAAATATGTTTTTGCCATTATTTTTAAAAATTATTTACAGCGCTTATGCAATTTACGCCATGTATCAAAGTGCCCCATTCAATGTATCTAAGTGCCCCATAGATGGGGCAGAATAATACAAAACCAATTTTTCGATAATTTCATTATAATATCACCCTCTTCTAACTTTAATCATTTCTTTGATGCTTATATAATACTGATTAGTTATGCTTAGCAAACAACAGAAAGATTAATATTTTACTCCTTTTGCTTCGAAAAATATTGGATTGAATTTTTTAGTATCAATCTGCCCCACTTCCCCCTATTCGAGATATTTAAGAAAAAGTGTAAATTTTGAATTTTAAAGAAAACTCAAAGCGGATAAAGAAAAACACATGAAATTTTAAACTTAGGCTTTATTCCAGCCTGAGGTGAACTGATTAGATTTGAGTCGGAACATCTGGTGGGTACCTTATATAGGGTCGTTTTTATATTTTATGGAATATATGTTATTTTTGTTTGGAGAAGAAAATTAATTATACAAAAGTTACTTATTATATTATTCTCTATAATTTTGTTTTATACAAAATTTTTCTAAAATAATCGATTCGAGAAATTTTTCCAAATGTAAAAAATTCAAATTTTTAAGAAAACTGTTTAATAAAAAGTTCTTTGCGATATAATTCTCTATAATGCTTGTCCCATACATAATATCTCTAAAATGGACCGCATTCGAGATATTTGTGAAAATGTGTAAATTTTGAATTTTGAAGATAACTCAAAAACGGATAAAAAAACAATTTAAATTTTAAACTTATGCTTTGTTCCGACCTCAGGTAAACTAATTAGATTTTGGACAGAGTCAGAACATCTGGAGGGTACTCTATAGGGTGTCATTTTTATATTTTATGAAATATATTATGTTATTTACGTTTGGAGAAGAAAATTCTTCGAATAAAAGTTACTTCTAATATGTTTCTATATAATTTCTGTTTTATACAAAATTTTCCTAAAATGGTCCGTATTCGAGAAATTTTTCAAAATATAGAAAATTGTTAAACTAAAAGATGTTTGCGATATCGATCTCTAAAATTTTTGTTTTTGCATGATTTCTCTAAAATGGACCGTAATGGAAAAGTTAAAGGAAAACCATAAAATTTAAATTTTTCAGCATTTTCGTTGGCAATGAGTGTATGTAGAAAAATGTTTCGAGTTAGATGTACGTGGAAAATGTATATATTAAGTTAACCTCTAAATATTTACGGAGGTGCTACAATAGGTTGTACAAAATAACCGAAAAAAGCCTGTAATAACTAAATGGGAAAGTCATGTGTTGGACACATCAGCTTTTTTTATTACGAATAAATAATTTTAGGACATATTTTCGCTCATTTAAGACAATCAAATTAAATTAAAATAATTTTGTTCATTTAAACGTTCCGTTATTCAAGTACATCATTTATGATACCTACAGTTTTATTTTCCATTAGTATTTAAGATGTTTACAGGTTTTTTTCTGTTCAAATGTTTATTATGCACAAAGGAATTCAATATTCCTTATGAATGTTATATATTTAAAATTCATTACTATTTGTTCTTAGTAACATAACAAAAAAACATTTTTGAGATTTTGATATTAAATTTCTTACTTAAAGTCCCCATTTTTTTTTCCTTTTCATGATATGTAACTAATCTACTTTCTATTATAACAAGAAATATTTTGAAATTAGACCACTCAGAGCGGATTTTTTTCAAATTTAATTTTCCAATTTTTCTTTGGTTTGTTTTCACCCCTCGGGGTTCAAGAGTTTATTCGTATTATTTCAATATACCTGCTACTTGGTCTTTTTCTGGCAAAAAGTTTAAGCTGGTAATTTAGAAATAAAAATAGAAATGGGTGAAGATAAATACAGTAAAAAAATAATACCTTAAACCTAAGGTCACCAACGGCAGGTTTTGCATACGGTATCCCCAAGAATGAACAGAACTTTTCACCATCAATATTTGTTCGTTGGTTTCCTTGAATTATTCCATCATTAATAGTAACTTGTATAATAGGCGATTCCATTTCAACAGTAGACACAAACTCGGTTACACTAAAAATATCACAACTTGATAGTAAGATAAAAGCGTACTGACTGCAGATCGGTTTATATTACTAAGTATCGACTAATATTAAACGAGATAATGATTAAATTGAAAGTTGTGTAAAATTAGGTTTACCGGATGGACTTAACAATAGCCTTTATTCTCGCAAATCGCATTAAGGAGCATTAAGAATATTTTATTATGTCAAGTCTCCGATTGCACGAAGTCAGCTGTCTTTATCGCAATTTATTTGAAGTATGCAGTATAGATAGTATTTATATAGTCAGTTTGCAACCTCTGTGAACTTTCTACAAAAATAAATTTCGATTTTATTAATCAAAAATTATATTTATTTGAATATAAGGATCAATATAAAACATTTATGTTGATTATTTGTACAAAACGAACGACTATTTATGAGAATTAACCTAATACAATAAATGAAACTAGAGTGGACCGAATTTAATAGTCAATATTTATAACAATAATAATTAATTTGATTAAAGTCTGCTATCAAACTGGTCGACTATTTCTTTTCTTATCATGATTTTTATTTTATCTAAAATATAATCATGAGCGCAGCAAAATTAATTTAATAATAAAATAATTATAATTAAGTATACGTATTTTATTAATCAATAAAAGCACAAAATTATATTTCGTATTGTGACGAAAGTCTAATTTATTTAAAGTTTATTTATTTAAAAATACGCTACTGGAAAATACGAGAGGCTCTCCAGCATTCCTCTTTATGTCTAAGCGGCACTCTCCGCCATTCCAATCGCTTCCAGTGCTTTAGTGGCAGACATTCCGTCGTATTCTTTTACATTCGAGACGCGGTCCGGCTGTTTCCACACGTCAGCGTTGCTTCGATCATGAATTGGTTGCCATGTGAAGGCCGCGTGCGTACACAGGCACAGGGTTGGATTGGGAATATCATGACAGTATACTCGTCCAAATAGACAGTACACATTATGTAGATATTACACATGCAGTACCATTATTTACACTTTATTAAGCACAATTTTAATGAGTGAATCACAAAACATAGATACAATACATTCTCTTATCAGCCGCTACATTACCTGTCTCGACTATACTTATTCATTTCATTTTATTATTGAGCTTTTACTATTGTGCTCCCTCTATTAAACTTAAAAATCTGATGTGTCCAACACATTACTTTCCTATCTATTATAGGCTTTTTCCGGTTATTTTGTACAACCTATTGTAGCACCTCTATAAATGTTTAGAGGATACACTAACTATATACATTTTCCACATACATCTAACTCGAAACATTTTTCTATATATATTCATTGAAAACGAAAATAATGAAAAATTTAAATTTAACACTTTTCCTCCAATTTTTTCATTATGGTCCATTTTATAAAAATCATGTAAAAACAAAAATTATAGAGATCGATATCGCAAACAACTTTCCATTTCACGAAAATTTTACATAAAACAAAAATTATAGATAATAATATTAGAAGTAACTTTTATTTCAACAATTTTCTTCTCCAAACGTAAATAACAGATATATTCCATAAAATATAAAAATGACCACCCATAAAGTACCCCCCCACAAATTCCGACTTTGCCCAAAATCTAATCAGTTCATTGGACGTCAGAATAAAGCTTAAGTTTAAAATTTGGTGTTTTTGTTTTTATCGGTTCATGAGTTATGGTGGATATTCATGAGTTATGGTGGATAGAGACGCAGACGCAGACGCAGACGCAGACGCAGACGCAGACGCAGACGCAGACGCAGACGCAGACGCAGACGCAGACGCAGACGCAGACGCAGACGCAGACGCAGACGCAGACGCAGACGCAGACGCAGACGCAGACGCAGACGCAGACGCAGACGCAGACGCAGACGCAGACGCAGACGCAGACGCAGACGCAGACGCAGACGCAGACGCAGACGCAGACGCAGACGCAGACGCAGACGCAGACGCAGACGCAGACGCAGACGCAGACGCAGACGCAGACGCAGACGCAGACGCAGACGCAGACGCAGACGCAGACGCAGACGCAGACGCAGACGCAGACGCAGACGCAGACGCAGACGCAGACGCAGACGCAGACGCAGACGCAGACGCAGACGCAGACGCAGACGCAGACGCAGACGCAGACGCAGACGCAGACGCAGACGCAGACGCAGACGCAGACGCAGACGCAGACGCAGACGCAGACGCAGACGCAGACGCAGACGCAGACGCAGACGCAGACGCAGACGCAGACGCAGACGCAGACGCAGACGCAGACGCAGACGCAGACGCAGACGCAGACGCAGACGCAGACGCAGACGCAGACGCAGACGCAGACGCAGACGCAGACGCAGACGCAGACGCAGACGCAGACGCAGACGCAGACGCAGACGCAGACGCAGACGCAGACGCAGACGCAGACGCAGACGCAGACGCAGACGCAGACGCAGACGCAGACGCAGACGCAGACGCAGACGCAGACGCAGACGCAGACGCAGACGCAGACGCAGACGCAGACGCAGACGCAGACGCAGACGCAGACGCAGACGCAGACGCAGACGCAGACGCAGACGCAGACGCAGACGCAGACGCAGACGCAGACGCAGACGCAGACGCAGACGCAGACGCAGACGCAGACGCAGACGCAGACGCAGACGCAGACGCAGACGCAGACGCAGACGCAGACGCAGACGCAGACGCAGACGCAGACGCAGACGCAGACGCAGACGCAGACGCAGACGCAGACGCAGACGCAGACGCAGACGCAGACGCAGACGCAGACGCAGACGCAGACGCAGACGCAGACGCAGACGCAGACGCAGACGCAGACGCAGACGCAGACGCAGACGCAGACGCAGACGCAGACGCAGACGCAGACGCAGACGCAGACGCAGACGCAGACGCAGACGCAGACGCAGACGCAGACGCAGACGCAGACGCAGACGCAGACGCAGACGCAGACGCAGACGCAGACGCAGACGCAGACGCAGACGCAGACGCAGACGCAGACGCAGACGCAGACGCAGACGCAGACGCAGACGCAGACGCAGACGCAGACGCAGACGCAGACGCAGACGCAGACGCAGACGCAGACGCAGACGCAGACGCAGACGCAGACGCAGACGCAGACGCAGACGCAGACGCAGACGCAGACGCAGACGCAGACGCAGACGCAGACGCAGACGCAGACGCAGACGCAGACGCAGACGCAGACGCAGACGCAGACGCAGACGCAGACGCAGACGCAGACGCAGACGCAGACGCAGACGCAGACGCAGACGCAGACGCAGACGCAGACGCAGACGCAGACGCAGACGCAGACGCAGACGCAGACGCAGACGCAGACGCAGACGCAGACGCAGACGCAGACGCAGACGCAGACGCAGACGCAGACGCAGACGCAGACGCAGACGCAGACGCAGACGCAGACGCAGACCCAGACACAGACACAAACACAGACACGGCAATATGTCACAAATCAAAGACGTCATACAGCGACGTGATAAACACGTCACCAGATAACGTGTTTAGACGTCAAAAAACACCATAATATTCATTTAAAAATGTTTAATTTGTAAAAAAAATGTTTATAAAAAACGTTTTATTTATAAAATGTTTAATAAAAATATGTTTTATATAAAAAAAGATAGGTTACTGCATAAAATTTCCGAATTGAAACATAGTAAGTATACTAACCTAAACTATTACTAAATAAACATTACTTTTTAGAATGTATAAATTACAAAAGATTATATAGCAGTGTCCAGATATTTAACAAATCATTCCGAATATACAGGCTTAAAGCAGCTTCAATGGTATCCTTATTAATTTTTATTTCCTAAAACAAAAATATAATAGTTATAACTACCAGAAACTTTATCATTTAAATAAAATTTGAGCCAAAAAATAGAGTTAGCAATAAGGGAGAAAGACAGAAATTGTTTTATATCATTAAGCTGCCACAAAAGTGATATATTTGATGGTTCACAACTCATTATTATATGCTAAACAAGATAAATCAGATCTGTCAAGAGAAATCAATAAAAAAATGTAATATGCTCCTGGCTAAAGAGTACTAGATGTTCCTAGCTAACACAAAATTTAGTATTTCTTTATAGGTCAAAAACCTAATTTTAATAATAATTTTATGATGCTAATTTTTAAAGTGATGTAAAATTGTGAATTTTAAACCAGGTTAACCTGACTTTTTTATAATTAATGAAATGAAGAAATATTATTATTTTTACAAGGTATATATTGATAAGAGGAAAATGTATTTTACTTCCAAGCTCTTTTGATGGTAAAGGTGAGATTTTTAATAATTGTGAAAAACAATTATTGACATTTGAAGAAAAAAATGTTGTTCGGAATAAAAGAAATGTACTTATAACATTGTCACAAAAGTATGAATTTTACTCAATAAAAAATAAGTTTCGCTAGACAAAGCAGTATTTACCTACCAACAAGTTCGTCATCAAAAATGAATTCATCATCGTCACTTGAAAATATTCTTCTTAATGGCTTTCTTTTACAAGGAAGAGGTTGTAACTCATCATCACTTGTTATATCCTATGTTATAAGAACCTTTGTTGCTAGCTATTTGGTAGTTCTCTAAAACAGATTAATAATTTTATACACTATACTTTTTTAAATAAATAAAATGGCTCACAGAGATGGTTTACGAAATACTATAACTATAATAGGTCTCAGTAACCAACAAAAATTCAAAAAATATAATATTAAGGTATATAATGCAAAATAATTTCATAAAACAATGTAGTTAAAACCACAGTACATAAAGGGAAAGGTTTTAGTAATAATACATAGACCAGTGTTTTAATTGTCTAAAGGTGAGTTTAGTCAGCCTGATTTAGTTTCAACATAAAAGTTATCAATTTATTTCAATGTACCTGTTTATACAGAATAACATAGGCATCAACATTAACATAGTAAAGATAAATAAAAATTAACTTAATGCTCAAATCTTAGGAATGTGTATGTTTAAAATATAAAAAATCACTCACCATCGGTAAAATATGTTCTATAAATAGGAAAGAGTCCAATTTTTTCCTCTTTTAAGCTCTTGTTAAAAGATTCTTGTTGTTTATAAGAACCTCATTTCCCAGGATGTCGGTAATACTCCGGTGCCGTGCTTGTCGGCGTATTGAATTCCTATAAAC